TATATTCAACTCTCTCTCTCTCTCTCTCTCTCTCTCTCTCTCTCTCTCTCTCATTCTGCTGAGTTTATTTTCCATGCATATCCCATTCACAATATAAGTCTATATTTTCTCTTCACGTGCCTTCGATTATGTGAAAAAAAAGCATAAAAATAATAATGAATCATTTCATAAATAATGGGTTTAGGGGGCTCTGTGCTCTTATCTCTGCCGGCCACATTGCTGCTGTTCCGCTGGACGTGATGTGCAATTATATGGAGCTGCTTCCCTCGCGGAGCCGGAGAGGCTCTAAAAGCTCAGGCGCATGGATGACCCTCCACAAAATGGCTCCACACAGGCACTAACACGACCACGGCGCGAGCACGGTAAGAGAAACGCGCGCGCTCACACACACACACACACACACACACACATGCGCACATACACACTCGTGTGTAAGCGCGCACACGCTCCGCTTCTCCAGCCCGGACTTTCTCTCTGCTGCGCTGTGCGTAATTGCGCGCGCGGGAGATCCATCCGCTCACCGCCTTCAGCCGAGAGAGCTCTTTATTCCTTATTATTATTTTCCCTTTTCGGCAACATTTCATCACTCAGACCGTCTGTCGGACGCCTGAAGCGCCTCCTGCCTCGGTACGTATCCTCACAGCCTCCGCTTCTTTTCAGCAGCTTCATTAAACACCAATGTAGAAATGAACAGCGGTTAACGGAGATCAGTGACTCGAGTCAGTTCAGCGTCTTTTCCTCTTTTTCTGTGTTTTAAACAACGACTTTAACATGTCCAGGTCGTGAAACTGAGCCAGGAGCCCCGCTAACACACACAGCCTCGGAAAAACAGACTCACGGTGAAAAATAATCCAAATTATTTTGGCTTCATAACGGAGAGCATCGATTATCGGGCTTATTTGGTTGTGATTGTGTGAAATCCGGACTTTAAGGCTTCATTTCTAATGCAGAGGTTTTATAGCCAAACTCGGCTGAGCGGAGCCGGAAAGCCGGAAAGGCTTTAAAACTGCAGCAGCTACATCGAGCTTTTACACGACTGGATGCACAGCACGTTAAACTATTATTAATAATTATGAATAATATTGTTACAGTTTTGCGCACGAGTTTTGAAATGTAATTATTATTATTACTATTATTATTATTATTATTATTATTATTGTTGTTGTTATTATTATTACAACTCTTGGATTCGAGCAGCTGTCTGTTCTAACAGTTATATATACAGAGAGAGAATTTTGATTTTAGTATTATTCTATTTTATTTGTATTTATTAAACGACTATCTTAAAGTACTGAAACAGTTATACTGAAGTCATTGTAAAGTATGTTTTTTAAGTCATATTTAAAATTTAAATTGGTGTCATTTTAAAATATTTCTCGGTAGTTTCACATTCAGTATTTGGAAAAAAACAAACAAAAAACAAGCGCTTATTTAAAAATATATGTGGATGTAAAATATGTCACCTAGAAGTGATCTCAGTATTTTAGACCGAGTGATAATAACAATATAAAATAATAATAATAATACGAAATAAAATAAAATAGGACTTGTTTTATGGATTTAAACAATCGAAATGTGAGAATATGAGAATGATTTGCAGCTCTATAATTACAGTTCTCAACAATAACAGTATTATTAACACTGTTAACGTTACTGTCATTATTAACATTAACTACGATCATTACTATGATTAATAACATTATTATTAACATTATGGGCATTACTGCCATTATTAACATTATTATCAACACTATCGACACTATTAAAATGATTAATATTAACACTATGAACATTACTATTATTAATAGCATTAATATTAACACTATGAACATTACTATCATTAATAACGTTATTATTAACACTGTGGACATTGCTGTGATTAACATGAACACTACGAACGTTAGTGTCATTGTTAACAATAACACTATGAGCATTACTATCATTAATAACATTATTATTAACACTATGGACATTGCTGTCATTAACATGAACACTACGAACGTTAGTGTCATTGTTAACAATAACACTATGAGCATTACTATCATTAATAACATTATTATTAACACCATGAACATTACTGTCATTATTAACATTATTACATTATTATTACACCTTGAACATTTGTGTCATTGTTTACATTAAAACTATGAGCATTACTTTTATTTTTTAAATGATCATAAACACCATAAACATTACAGACCTTATTAATATTAATAATTATTATTATATGAATTACACTATGAACATTATTGTCTCTCTAAACGTTATTAATAACGCTATGATCGTTACTGTAATTATTAACATTATTATTAAGACTATGCACATTACTAATGTTTACACTATTAATACTATGAGCATTACTGATGTTATTAACAGTATTATTAACACTATGATCGTTACTGTCATTATCAGCATTATTATGAACACTATGGTCGTTATTGTGATTATGAACAGCAGTGAGGCTGAATGTTATCAGCAGCGCGAGGCTGAGTCGTGCTGGAAGCTGTGTGGTGCTGAATGTGTTTGGTGTTGGGGTAAGAGAGCGCTGTTTGGGGCAGATAAAGCAGCTCGAGCTGAGGAAGCTTATCTAAACCTCAGTAACAGCTCCACTATAATGATATGACACACCAAGGTCAGCACAGACAGGCACGAGCGCTTTCACCACTCTCACCATCCCTCATTCACTCCGCACCAGCAAAGCCTTTCACTAGCCTCACAGCGGCCAGACACACAGCCCCGCTCCCCCTGACCAGACACTACACAGGGCAGAGGAATCGGAGGGTTAATCCAGAGAACCATTTAACTCGGGCAGATTTATTCATGCGTGATTATGTATGTATCGATATGAGGCAGGTTTCCTCAGCCTCTCTCTGAATAATGTGACTTAATAATATTTACATGGTTTTAAATTACACTGAAATTGTACTGGAGGATATTTGAAAGAACAGAAACGGAGATAAAAAAATATTTTTTTTTAATTGCGGATATATAATATAATATGTTATATATATATGTATATATATATATATACATATATATATATATATATATATATATATATATATATATGTACGTGTGTATGTGTGTGTGTGTGTGTATATATATATATATATATATATATGCATATATATATATATATATATATATATATATATACACATATATGCATATATACTATATACACACATTGCGCTTTAGTCGTTCACGTTTAGTCCTTAATTTCTTTCTTTTTTTGTTTCAATTTTATTCTGTTTCAATGGAATTCAGGTCAATCGTTAACACTAAATAATGGTTGCACATAAAACTGGACACAATGAGTGTCCAAAGAATGCTGTTGGTATTTTCTTTGTGTGCAACACAATAAAAATCATGAACATTTTTTTCCAACGAGTAATGAGAGCTTAACAAACAAGGGATGCATCAGTACATCAAAATCGGATCGTTATCGGCCGATAATTGCTTTTTAAAAAATCGGTATCGGTTTAGATGTGACTGATCACGTTATTTTTATTGCTGCAGAGCAACTGCGGCAATCTATCTACAGTTTATTCATTTTACTATAGAAATAAATGCTATAGTTCTACATTTTAATAATGTTTACATCGCACAATGCCCATACCGGTGCATCCCTACACTCTCACAAAAGGTTCTAAACTGTCACTGGGGCAGTTCCCCTCTCGTCACTGGGGTGGTACCCTCGAGGGTACATCTCAGTACCTTTAGTCAGGGAACATAACTGTACCATAATCCACTGAATTTATATTCTCTAAGCTGTACTGACTCCACACACCCCGTCTCGTCTCCAGGCTTTTATTTTACTGTTCTGTTTTAAAACATTCGGTTACGAAAAGATACAAATATGAACTTTTCACCTGGAAAAACTTATTTAAGGTTCAGAACTGGACCTTAAAACTACTGTTGTACCTTTGAGGTACATCTACATTGTTTGTACCTTGATGAACGACAAAAGTACCTACAGAGAACCTTTATGTCTAATAGTGCAGAACACAGTGCAGCTCCAGTGTGTTAGTAAAGGCTGGATGTGCTGAAGTTCCACTGCAGTTTTATGGAGGAGCTTCTTCGCTGCTTTTACTTTTACTCGGGTCATTCTTTCAATGACGTAATAGCGTTTACTAGAGCGTAGTTTTACGTTGCTTTCTCTATTTTTGGCTATTAGCAGAGCACGAGCAGGATGCAGGTCAGCGTGCCCGCGAGCGTTAAGTACGTAGGGCCCAAAGCAGGCCTGTATGGGGCTCTGCATGGGCTGCAGTGCACGAGACAGAGAGGAACAGCGAGAAAATACTGCAAAATAGCATCAGCCATGTTAAATAATATAAAATACATGATACTGAGTGCTACAGTGAAGCGCTTTGCGCTCTCAGTGTTTTTACGCACTGCTTTCATTTTCGCCCCAGTTTCATCCACATTAAATCCATAGCAAATATATATAGAGATAAATAATATATAAATAAAATATCACAAATCCACCATAAAATACTAAAATACATCTCTCTCTCTTTAAGGTGAGGCGCGTGGGACTCGCTCTGGATCGCTGGGATTTATCACTTTTTTTTTTTAATTGTGGTGCATTTTTTGGGAGTCTGAAGCGATGATGGAGAAGCCGAAGCGCGAGGAGGAGGAGGAAGGGGGGTCACCGGCACGCAGAGGGGGAGGGCAGGAGGAAGAGGAGGAGGAGGAGGAGGAGGAGGAAGAAGAGGAAGAAGAAGAAGAAGGAGAGGAAGAGGAGGATGAGGAGGAGGAGGGGTGTGGGAGACAGGAAGGCACGAGGACGGCAAGGCGGAGGAAGAGGAGGAGGAGGAAGAGGAAGAGCCCTGGCAGCGTCATTCTGCAGAGGGGAGGAGGAGTAGGTGGGGCTTTGGGGGCAGTGGGCGGGATTTTAGGGGCAGCAGTGGGCGGGGTGGGGAGTATTAAAGGCGAGGCTGTGGAGGAGGACAGCAGGCTCCAGTGTGAGAGCCGCGCGCCCCCCGGCCCTCCTCTTCCTCCTCCTCCTCCTCCTGCTGTTGCTGCTGCTCCTCCTGCTCCTGCTCCGCCGCTGCTGCTGCTCCTGCCCCGCTCAGAGCCTCGCGCAGCGCGGATGGTGCAGTTGAGTCCGGCCGCTCTGCCCCCCCCAGCGCGCGCGCTGCTCTACGGCACCATGGCGCAGCCGCTCGGGCACAGGTGAGAGACGGGGGTGATGGGATTTAGGGGCTCACATTTTTGGATGTGATGGTTGATCATGTTGTTTGGTGATTCGGTGATGCTTTAGTATGGTGAAGGATTTGGGGTTTAAATGATGCTGGGTTTGGGGTTTAAATGATGTTGGGTTTGGGGTTTAAATGATGTTGGGTTTGGGGTTTAAATGATGTTGGGTTTGCGTTTAGATGAAGGGTTTTTGGGCTTTTGGATGGTGTTGGAATTGGGGTTTAGATGGTGTTGAGCTTGGGCTTAAATGATGTTAGGTTTAAGTTTAGATGATGTTAGGTTTGGGGATTAAATGATGTTAGAATAGGGTTCAGATTATGCTGGGATTGTGGTTTAGATGATACTGGGTTTAAGTTTAGATGATGAAGGTATTAGGGTTTACACGATGTTGGGATTTGGGTTTAGATGATGTTGGGTTTGGTTTTAGATGATGAAGGTTTTGGTTTTAGATGATGTTGGTTTTAAGTTTAGATGATGAAGGTATTGGGGTTTACACGATGTTGGGATTTGGGTTTAGATGATGTTAGGATTGGGATTAGATTATGCTGGGATTGTGGTTGGGATGATGAAGTGATCAGAGTTTAGATGATGTTGGGTTTAAGTTTAGATGATGAAGGTATTTGGATTTAGATGATGTTGGGATTGTGGTTTAGATGATGAAGGGATTTAGGTTTAGAAGATGTTGGGTTTGGGTTTAGATGATGGGATTGGGGTTTAGATGATAAAGGGTTTGGGGATTAGATGATGTTGGGTTTTTGGTTTTGATAATGTTGGGATTGAGTTTAGATGATGATGAGTTTGGGGTTTAGATGATAAAGGGTTTGGGTTTGGATGATGAAGCATTTGAGGTTTAGATGATGTTGGGGTTGTGTTGAGATGATGTTGGGATTGGGTTTAGATGATGTTGGGTTTAAGTTTGGGTGAAGAAGCATTTGGGGTTTAGATTATGGGTAACTGCTGTGTTTTTTATTTCAGAGGGAGCTGGTCGTTCTACATTTTTATAGTTCATTGGTTTTAATGCTTCTACAGTTTGTGTTAGGTGGTCTGATGATGTCTAGAATGTAAAAGATGGATTATAATGCATATCTGATGAGTTTTCTTTTGGGTTTCTGAAAGACTGTTTTTGTCCTGGTTTGGGGTTTAAATTGTCTTTTTTATCTTACATTTCCACAGATGATGAGGTTTGAGGGTGAAATTCTGTTTTGTGGGTTATGGGGGTAGATGAAGTGGGGGTCTTGCTGATGTGATCGAATGTTAGGGTTTGAAGGGTCAATCAAGGTCTAGTGAGTAAATGTTGATATATAATGCTTATTGCTTATAAAACAGGGTTTAGTGGATGAAACTTGATTTGAAAGCTTAGCTGATGACCTGCATACCTGAACGTTTCACTAACATGCACAGTAATGGCTGAGGCAGTCTCTGCGTTTCGGAGGAGCTGGTCTTGACACATTTTCATAGTCAAAGGGTTTTAGTGCTTTTATTATGGCGTTTGTGGGGGATGCTCGATTGATGTTTTCTGGATTTTAAATGAGAGGTTATGGTGCTTAGCTTTTGGGTTTTTAATCCTCCTCACTGCAGAGCTGAGTGCTTTTCTTGGAGTGTTTGAGATTTGGTATTTTTGGTGTTGAACATGTTTTTTAGGGGGTAGATTGTGGGATTTGATGTTTGGATGCTTTTCATTCGCATGTTGAGGGGATTTTTATTTCTTCCAACCTGCATGCCTGACCGCTTTTCTATTTTTATGTTCAATGGATTTTTTTGGTCATTTTCTGAAAAATGTTTTTTTGTCTTCCTGCATTTGCTTTTCAGTCACATCATGAATGCAGGATGATTTTTTTTTTTACTTTGTTTCTGATATTTTGATATTTTGTCCTCATATTCTTGCATACTGGAATGCTTTTTCCCCCCTTTTTGTTTTGCAGTTTTCATTTTTTTCAACCTTCTGCATTTACATACTTAATTTTTTAGACTTTCATTCCTCATAGTACTAAAAATGAACCACTTTCAAATTAAAATGTCCATTAAAATGAGAAGGCGGGTCATTATTTTCTTGGTACGGTGTTGTGTAGGATGAAGTGTGTGAGCTGAGATGCTGCAGCATGAATACATTATTTTGCACTCAGGGCTAAATCTGGAAAAGAACTGGGTTTATTTAAAAAAAGAAAAAGCATCCGAGAAATCTGCATTGTTCCTTTGTGCTTTTCCCTCCAACTACTGCTGAATTACATTCATTTTGATATCTGTAATGTATAGAGGAAAGCATTCTAATTCTCATTGTAATTACTGAACTGTAACTCTAAATAATTATTGAACTATAATCAGATTTCCTAAACATGCTTTATACTAATATAAAGGCTTTTCCCCTCTTTTCCTCTGCAGTGGCTTTGCTGGAGAAGCGGAGCAGTATGGGATGTATCCCAGCCACCGCGTTAAGCGCAGACCAGCACCGTATGAGATTGAGATCAATGATGGTAGGACAATTTTAGATCTTTCTAAGTATGGTAAGCCACTCTTTGGCTGTGACTTCTTCTCTTACCTTCATCTCTTCCACTCATCCAAGCTCATGTCCATCCCTCCATCCTTCTGTCCTTCCATCCTATCACTCAACATAGCCATTACACAGCAAGAGCACTTACTCTATTGTAAGGAAAATATAATAGGCAAAATGAGCTGAAGGCTCACAAAACATATTACATAACAATGATGGATATAACGAGAGTAATTCATCAATTCAGCATTTTAAATAAATAAATAAACATTCATCACAACAGTGCAGTCGTGTTGCGTTAGGCTCATTACAGCCCTTGCAATAAAGCTTCATTTGACTATTATCTACACAGATATTATAATTTATATATAATTATAAATTTTAGGGAATTTTCACCTAATTAAATATTATAGTTAGTTATTAGATAATTATATACTAACTACATAAACACTATAAACACTATATAATAGTTACATTATTACTTTTACTATAATTACTATAATTACTATACTAATACTATAATTGTAAAAAGCTTTATTTAATTTTATTAGCATACAGATGTCATGATTGATATATAAAACTATAATTAGTAGGGCATAATCACCCTTTTTAAACAGTATTATAGTTTATCACTAAGTAATTATATAGTAACTACACAATTATTAACTATATTTACTATATATTAGTTCAATGTAATAGCGCTTTGTTTGATTTTATTGAGATATAATTACAATTATAGAGAACTGTCACCTATTTATAGTTATTGACAGTTACTATGTAATTATATAGTAATTACATAATTATTATCACTACTCTGTAATAGTTAAATGTAATAAAGCTTCATTTAAATTCATTACCTATATACACAGTATAATTTATATATAGTTGTTATAAGGAATTAAAGCTGTTTCTATTCACTGTTATAGTTAGTTACTATGTAATTATATAGTAATTTCTTGTTTCTATTCAGTGTTGTAGTTAGTTGCTATGTAATTTTATAGTAATTATATAATTATTAACTATAGCTACTCCATAATAGTATAATTACAATAATATATTTATTATAATTAGCACAGGGAAAGCTACAGATCACTGCAGTGGCATTTTAAAGGTTGTACACAAAGCGATGCTCTCTCTCTCGAGAAATAATGAAATGTTGCTCTGAGACAAAGAGCGATAAAGAGGAGAAGCGGTGAGAGAACTGACGGTGGGTAGAGCCCCAAAGGCGCAGTGTGTGTGGCACAGATAGCCGCTGGTGTCCCATCAAAATGCAAATACGAGGCAGAGTGCTGAGGCGAGGAAGAGGGATTAGAAAAGGTTACAGAGACGCCAAGCATGAACTATAATGTGCAGACTGTGTAAAATGTAAAATGTTCTACCATATTGTACCTATATGGGCCCCGTCTACGTAAATAATGTCATTTTTTATTTTAAAAAAGGTACATTATCCTGTAGATTAACAACACGTCCACGCTAAGTTGCCCACCGTTGCATTAAGGCACGGTGGTATGTGAGACAGAGCCGGTTCTGTTCCAAAAGAGCTGTCTGGGATGAGGAATGAGCTTGAATAATTGAATGTAAAATGCCATAGATAATAGAAAGGTTAATTAATTCTTTGCTAAATAGGTTGAGATAAAGGGCTTATCTATCAGTGAGCTGGAGGATGGAGGCACCAGAGGTGTGTTCGCCGAGCAACGTCCTGTTAAATCAGTCAACCATTTGGAGACAAGCTGCTGTAAAAGATGCTGATTTGTTACAAATGTGGTTTGTGAGGATTTGGCTGAGCTGGTTTGGGGTTCAGAATGAGTAGTTAACCCCCTTTGACTTCATGGATGCCCATTACTACATTATAGGAGTGAGGAATGGATGTCTATGGAATTGTTGGCAGGTCTGTGAATGTTAAAGTGATCATTTTAAGAGGGGAACCAAGAATCAAATTCAACCCAGTTTCACTCCTGCACAGACAGTGTCCAGGACCATTTTGTTATTTTCCTGATTTAGCAGGAAACCTGGTAACTAGTAATCAAGTAACTACAGTCGTATGCAAAATCAAATTACATGTTTTTATTTTCTGAGTGAAAATGAGTGATGAAACATACTTGAATATAGCATTTTTGCAGTTTTTAGAGTACACTTTCCATTTATTTGCTGGTTTTAAAATATTGGAATGGAAAAAATAATACATATTAAATGTGCCATAATCTTTATTCATGTTTTATTTTTTTCCCCAGTATGTCTCTATAGAGGATGTTTTGTTGTTTCACAGAACAATAAAAATAAACCAAAACGTAATTTGACCAGGGGTGCCAAAACTTTTGCATACAACAGTTCCTACTAAACCTGGTACTAACCGCTGAGTTGAACAAAAATTGTTAGTTACTAGGTAATTATATAGTAACTACATATTAACATATAGACACTATATAATAGCCCATTGTAAAAAGTCAAATTTGATTACCATACAAATGTCATAATTGATATCTAACTAAAAGTAGTAGGGAATTATCACCTTTTTAAATCAGTATTATAGTTTATCACCAGATAATTATATAGTTACTACGCAATTATTACCTATAGTTACTACGTCTTAGTTCAATGTAAGATTTTATTACCATACAGATGTCAAAACAGATATAATTACAAGTATAGAGAATTGTTGCCTATTTATAATGTTATCGACAGTTACTATGTAATTATATAGTAATAATATTATTAACTATAGTTACTATATAAAACATGTCATTTGACCTGAGGTGGCCAAACATTTGCATACAACTGTATCTACTAAACCTGGTAATAGCCACTGAGTTGAATGACCAACGTGTGCTGGACTAAGGCCATCCAGGAGCAGAGTGATGACCAGGAATAGGAAACTAGACAAATATGAGGAGAGACAAAGAGTAGTGGCTATTTTTTGCTGGTGGGGTTCTGAATGAGCCTGATTCTGTAATTAAATGGATTTTTGAGAGTGAACTGGGAAGTGAAAATACAGGAAACTGGACATAAGTGAGGAGTCCAAATGACTGGCTATTTCTGAAGTGTGTTTTCCTGCACATGCCCCTGCTCACGACTCGCTTTTCTATTGCTTTTCAGGTTCTCAGCCCAAGATCGTGCGGCGGATCTTCACGAACAGCCGCGAGCGCTGGCGGCAGCAGAACGTGAACGGCGCCTTCGCCGAGCTCCGCAAGCTCATCCCCACACACCCGCCCGACAAGAAGCTCAGCAAGAATGAGATCCTGCGGCTGGCCATGAAGTACATCAACTTCCTGGCCAAGCTGCTGAATGACCAGGATGACGTGCTGGTGGGCGGTGAGGGTGGGGCGCGCACCCGTGAGGCCCGGGATGGCGGCCTAGTGAGGGAGGACCTGCTGCAGGACATGCTGAGTCCAAACTCCAGTTGCGGCAGCCTGCTGGATGGAGACGGCAGTCCAGAGAGCTTCACCGAAGAGCAGGACTCATCGCCCGCCGGACGCGGCCTGCATCATCCACCAATGCCCCTGGATGGAAGCAACCAGCGATGACTATGGAGGTGTAGATATCTGGCCTCATGATTCGCCTCGATTGCGATTCGATGCGTCACGAAAATCTGAAATTCCACCACGATTCGATTCTCTTGGTACGATTCGGAATCTTGTTGAACTGAATACGCAAATGAGACTGGAGGAAGTGGATTTAGTGGAATATAAACAATAAAAATAACATTTGATGTAGCCAGATAAGTTAATTTGCCCAAAAACAGTGCATAATTTTCTGAATATCATCCTAGTTATTTATAACTGATTCTTACATTACAAAACAACAATGCAGTTGAATCGCCACCTTTAAGTCGATGCATTATGATGCGTTTTGAAACCCCTGGTCACGACATTGCTGGACAAAGAGACTGGGCATTGAGGGCCAGACATTGGGCCCAGATGGTCTATTGTGGAAGGCTAACGGACGTGTTTGTGTGCAGACTTGATTTTTTTTCTTGCCCCCATTTCTTCACGTCTTGCGCACTAACTACTCTCCACACTGGATGCTGCCCCCTATGGGTAAACACTGGTACATCGAGAATCATAATAATGGTAGATTTAAGTGCTTGCTGCTGCGGTAAGCATATATTCCAGCTGGGATTTAAACACGAAGCAAAGAAAGCATTCAAAAAGGCCAGATTTTTCAGAATGGTACCCTTTCTAGATTTCAATCCCACCATTTGATCAGGTACACTAGATAACCATGCTGTTAGAATGCGTGAAGAAGACAGAGGAGGGGAAATCTCCTTGGCTAAACTCAATCAGACTTAAAGGGGAATTCCACCAATTTTTCAATGCTGCTGCATAATTCAATCATTGAGATGGAAACAAAGCCATTCAGAGTGGTTTGATGTGAAATACTTCACTTATTGACTCTGATTTCTTTCCAGCGGTGGTGATAGGAACCAGGGGTCACAATGTCCACAACACAAATATAGCCATTTTATTTATTATCCAAAATGACCAGAGAAGCTACACATCTTCTGGTGGCAAAACTGGAAAAAGATTCTATAACCCTGAATGCCTGAATTAACCCCTTTACAAGCCATCGGCCCAACGGCAGGCCCAAAGTTTTATTGCACACTTTTATAACCTAAGAACAGCTCAATTAGTTTGCATTAAAGACCATGTAGTTGCTGAATAATAAGCCTTTTGTATGTAATAAGCCTGTAATGTTAAGGGGTTAAAAATATGTTTCAGGCCAAAAATAGTTGCAAAATTTTGTAAAACAATGTCGTGGGCTGTGTTGTAGCTTTTAGGGGCATTAAACTCATCCGACGTCTGGTTCGTATCACCACCACTGTAAACAATTCTGATTTCTCCAGAACAGAGCATTTCACACCAAACCACTCTGAATGGCTTTTTTAATGATTGAAATATCCACACATTTTGAAAAAAAATCAATGAAGTTCTCCTTTAACGAATCATAGGCGAGTTTGTAGAGTTTTGGACTGTAGTGTTTGTACATTTAGCCGAGAAGTATGAGCGTTAGAGGGGAAACGGTAGAACGAGCTCAATTTTTGCTGTTACGTTTATGTTGGAGACTGTTAAAACTCTTTCTGTATATAACAGGGCCATGCTCTGTCTGAGTTAATGACCACACTGGCAATAGCAACTAAACTAATGCTATTTGGAGAAAAACACTGGCCATTTTGTGAATGGCATTTGAGTATTACTTTATTATTTGATAAAATGCACACACGTCTACGTGTAAAGACATGGAAGGGAGAGGGCTGCGACAGTAAGAGGTACAAGCGCGACGCTCCGAGTGTACATAACGAAATGAACTAATGTAGTAGATCTGTATCTAAAGCTGAACCCACGCATCTGTACTGTTCATTCCCATCGTGATTATGGTACAATGAGTTAATCAGTTATCATCTCCTCTCTTTCGTTCCTTTCCTCCACTTTCTTCCCTCCATCGCTCAGTAAGTGTTTTATCACTGTATTTGACTTTGATCTGCTTTTTCCGCAGACTGTCGAGTAACCAGTCTTGGTACCTTTAATTCTTTTTTTTGTGTGTGTATTGAACACCGACAACAGCAAAAAATGTTATTTTAATGTGATATTTAGTAGAAGGACCTTTGTTGTAAGGTGAAAATGAAATCTATCTATAAAAATATGCAACGTTATATCTTACAGAATTTTATAGAAAATGAAATAAAGAATAAAAAAAGGGGCAAACTTGAAAACGTGTGCTGTGGTTCTGTGTTTTTGGTTTGAAGTCGAATAAGCCTCACCACTCTTCAAGTGCACCGCACTCAACAGCCTAATTGAAAATATAAAAGGGAAGATAAAACGTACGATAGATGCTTTTAATTAAGTCCCATGAATTTGTTCACGAGAGCTAGAACCTGTTTCATTTCTTCATTATGTCACTTCAGGTTAACTAATGACGTGTGTGTGTGTGTGGGTGTGTGTGTATCTGTGTGTGTGTTACACCATAATAGTATAATAGGCCTTTAGTACTTTACTACATTACATTACAGATACTCTAAAGGCAGGGCTGGGATGCATCAGTGTACAAGTATTGGGAACATATTCAGAAAATAAAAATATATCTGTATTCAGTCCAAGTTACATTTTGTAAAGGCAGTTTTCGGAATACAGTTACTTTTTACATTTTTTGGAGAATACTTTTAGAATATTTACCCCCCACATTTGAAAAATTTATATATGCCATCTTTAAAGGAAACACCACCAGTGGTTGTTTATTAACCATTTTAAAATCAGCGCAAGGTGTCTAAAGACTTATTCTACAGTGGACTTATTTACAAATACTGTAGTTCATGCTGAAGCCTGAGTAGACTAATAAATCATTGTGATGATCAGTTATTAATCTCAGTGTTACTGAGCTCTGCTAAAGCCTGAGTAGGCTGATAAATCAATGTGATGATCAGTTATTAATCTCAGTGTTACTGAGCTCTGCTAAAGCCTGAGTAGACTGATAAATCAATGTGATCAGTTATTAATCTCAGTGTTACTGAGCTCTGCTAAAGCCTGAGTAGGCTGATAAATCAATGTGATGATCAGTTATTAATCTCAGTGTTACTGAGCTCTGCTAAAGCCTGAGTAGACTGATAAATCAATGTGATCAGTTATTAATCTCAGTGATACTGAGCTCCTTTGAGGGATGATGGAACTTGCCAGTCTCCTCAGTAGTGGACATGTTTACGACCCATAAGCTTAGCATCGGTGTTGTAGTGGATTTGTATATGTGTTTACTTACATCACCAACTGAAAATCACAGCTAACCACTTTATAGTCATATTTGTAAGATTTTGTTATTGGGATATGGCAAGCTGTTGGCTTAGGTCATGATTTTTTTTTCATGAAACATATTAACAGAAGCATTACATGAAGAAAACTGCAAACCAGTGTCAGCGAGGAACAGTGAATTACTAAAAATGAATGTCTTACCAGTAAGGGCTCTAGATTTATTCTGAGTATGTTACTTTTTTCATCATTGTAATGGAATACATCACTAAATACATTGAGGACAGTGCATTCAATATTCAGCCATCACTACTTTTTCAAAGTGTTCTGCCTAGCCCTGTTTAAAGGCCTGTATATGAGCCTACGTTTCAATTACTGCCACTGTTAAATGAAAATAAGTTAACACCTCCTGTACAGGGAGTAAGCTTAAAGTGCATGATGTCTATGTATTTGCTGAGTTTAACATACTGGAAAAAATAAAACATAAAATATAAAATATGCATTAACTTTTGCACAGGTCACATTTGAAGGCTTCTTCTTTTTTCTCAATTATCTCAATATTAAATTCAGTAAATAAACAGTAATTGTGTAACGGTAAGTGTGCAGAAGTGTGTTCTCTGTAGAGGATGTGTTAATTTATATACAGTTAGAAAATCAACTGAACGTGTAGTTTGACCAGGAGCGCACAAACGTCTGGGTACGAGTGAATTACTGTAATAGACTTGTGAATAACGCAGTGCTGAACTGTAACTATTAAAGCTTTGCCTTCAGTTTGAGCCATACATGTCAAAATATGGTAGAAAAACAAGAAAGGACAGCTCTCTACCCCACGGGATTCTAGCAGAATGAAGTAATAGTCATATGCTTATATTAATATTCATTTAACCTTGCAGCGGTTTCACAGTGACTCCTTTCTAACATTTGACTCATTTCTAACATCTGACTGACATGCATTGATCAGTCTACTGCTCATATTCCATCAGTGACTCTAGCTTCCCGAAGGCCTGGACGTTGTTACTGACAAAGTTGGTAACACTCTTTGGAATCCGAACGTGATTGGCTGATTCATTTGACACTCCCCAATTTTGCTCGTGGTTAATCTGATGTGGTAGAACTTCAGTGCAGTCCCAAAAGTCCTAACTAATGAGAGGGCTCGCTTGGCTGTATCTATCTAGACACCACAGAGAAAAAACTCTGATTGGACAATTTTCTGCTGGGCATTTTAACTCTTTTGTTTCTAACTGAATCTTAATGATTCTATGGAATAAATAAACAATGACTTAACAACATGTTCTTTTTTTTTGTTTCACAGGAATCATTAGGCCATCTGAAGTCCTAGATGACCCTCAAGGTTGCCAACTGGAATTATTTCTAGTAGTTCCATAATGATAATGAAACTCGTATGTTTAATCTCAAAATGCTCCGTCATCTTCATTGCTACTTTCCAAAACTGCTGTACCAACTTCAACCGATGTAAATGGCATTTCACACTGTCACTGTCGACTGAAGGAAGAATGAAGGGATTTTGGCGTGATGGGTCAGTGTTTTCCTGAGTGTACATGGGTCAGCTTCACACAAAATGTAGACAGACAAACGAATCCACCAGTTACACTCAGTGAGAGGCAGATTATGTATTTCTCGGTCCCTCTTCACAGGCTTATAACTCTGGATGTCATGTATGATCTCATGATGAGATGGAATGGAAAGGGTGACTCAGATTCAGGAATGTTTGAAGTGCATTTCTGCACTGTATCTATGTATGTACAGACACGCGGGCACGTCTGTGAACCCCAGAGGTTACGGGTCACTGGGGTATATACACCACTCTGTGCACAAGTCTTAGACGTCTGAGAAAATGATATATAAAGATATTTTTTATAAGTAAGCATTTCTTTGTTTAACAAAACACTAAGAATAAACAACGATATGCAATAAATTATGTTTTTATGTATGTGTGCGTGTTCGCCTAATCATTTCAAAAGCTCACAGCTTCACAGTAACCATCCAAATAGGAATTTACTAAATTTATGCAATGGCAGGAGGGAGCAGTCAGTTTATCTGTATTCTGTATTCTGTATTTTGTGGTGAGAATGCAGGACATTAACTTTAAAAAAACATTCTTGTTATGTTTTATTATATGTATGTTTAATTGCATATTTTATTTTTAAAGCTATATAGTGGGTTTAACTGCCACAGAGCCCTATCTATATAACTACAAAGTGGGATTAATTAGAGTATATATGTATAGTATACATATATAAAGTGGGACTAGCTGGGGTATACATGTGTGGTATATGTATAAAATTGGATTAGTTGGGGCATACATTTATGCTATATGTATAAAGCTGGATTAGTTGGGGCATATATGTATGGTATGTGTATAAAGGGGAATTAATTTGGGTATATATGGGATTAATTGGGAAATGTTTTATCAGCAATATAAAATTAGATTTCACAAAATCCAAAAATAGATTTTGCTCTATTATTTAATCATTATATATTAGGCAGACTCAGGGAAAGAATGTGCAGTGCTTATGTTTTGAAAAGCCAGAATGAATAGCTGCAAAATATGGAAAGCTCATAAATGCAGGTCCATTTATTTTACAATATGACTGCTGTACTGAAGTGAATGACCATTTTATGTTATCCGCTCCACAAGTTAACATGCAGAGTAATATAAGCCATAAAAAACACATTTTTACATTGCAAAATTCAAAGACAGTCAAATGTTTAAAGGCTCTATTATGTGACAACATTTAACAAACACAAAAGACAAGCTAGAATGATCTCAGTAGTGGAGCTGAGGAAGCTGGGACGGAGAAATGAGGGTCAGGAGGGTCATTATTATTGGGCTCTGTGGTCTGAGAGTGTGAATTCAAATTGCTGATAAGCATCAAAGCCAATAAAAAAAACATTGAAAGATCTACCGGTCCCACGAGGCCGCAGGAGAGAGT